ACGACCTAATAACCTCACTGCAAAAAAAAAAGATAAATTATGAGTTAAAGTGATTGTGTGGAGTTTGTCAGAAAAAAAGAAAGAGACGAACTTGATTTGAAAAAAAAAAACGACCCAAGCTCCCTCCCCCTTCCTTTCTGATTGGTCTACACCTACAATTCCGTAACAATCAACACATTTAAATGTTAATCAGAGAACACATTATACATATACATTATTAATACACATACACAGAAGTTTTCAAAGCTATCTGTTAACGTTTTTATGAGAAAAATATTGTTTTAATGCACACAAAAAAGCGATCGCGGTAAACCCGGAAGTAGCTTTTATGAATTGAACATTATAGGACACATCTGCAGAGGATCTGATTATGGATATAGGTTCAGTATATAAATGGATAACTCAGCGCAGATGTTCAGAATTCTTTGTTCAGTTTTCATGTAGTTCCAGAGCCTAATGGAGGCTTGATTCGGAGGCTCCGCGAAAACAAACAACAGAGCATCAGCGCTGATGAATGACAGCCCTTGGTATCACTTGATTGGTTAACGTGGACGGCATCGTAGATTTCTAGCTATAGCTAAGAGAAGGGAAGGCAGGACTTACCCGTACTATTAGAATTCATAAAATGACTTATTTTATATCAACATTAAAGGCCAGGAGGTCAATTTAATACAATTCTTAAAATAAACACTTTAATAATAAATGACAATGTATGTATAACACTTTCTTTCTATAACATACATGAAGATATTGATATAGAATTAATGGAGGTGAAGTTGCCTGAATGATGTTTTTGTCTCTAGATTCAGAATTTTTGAGTGTCTGAACTTTACAATATTTTATGTAATTAATAAACTTGTTCTTTGGCTCTACTCTACCGTACTCTACTCTATCCAACCTATTTTGCCTTTCCGTTATGCTTTTATATTTGGTACCGTTTCCTAGAAAACCCACAACAAACCAGTATCAAGGTACATTTTTTGGTAACCATGGCTTTCAGCAGCACTTCTGTTTGTAAGATCACTTCAGTACCTGCTTGGCCTATAGTTAGAAGCAAGGCCAAGCAGGCACTAAAGCACCTGGTACCAGTTAGTCAATCAGGGTAGATCAGGGCCAAGTGGGGCATGTAGGTCAGGATGTCAAACTAAACTATAACCACAGGGAAAGGAAGTCAAAATAAAACAACAACAAAACCTAACCCTAACCCATCTTAATACATTGCAAACACTGCCTATTCTAATAACCACAAAAGTAATAATATTTTTGCTAATTTGTTGATAAAATATCAGAAAAAGAAAAATGAGTGGCAAGATTGTGGAGCAAAGTTAATGACCTGGGAATGACAAATTTGTGCCAGGAACAATTATGCAAATAGCCCCATGATGAAGTGAAAATCATTGCCTCATACAAACACTGTAATTCTGGAAGAGATGATATGATGAAGGCCATTTTGTTTTTGGCTATTGAGACCGAATTTTATTTAATCAAAGCACATGCTCAATTCATCGCCATTGTGTCGCTGTTGTCAGATAGAGTATACTCCCAGTGGAACTATCGCTGTGATGTTATAGCAGCAGTGACAGAGCATTGTCGCCTGCTCGAGATCCCAGTGCGTCACTGTGTATAAATACATTTCTCAAAAAGCTTTGGAGTAAATACCATTACTCATTTGTGCTATTAGCAAAGAGCGATTTTGCAGAAATCCTTCATTACAATAGAGAGGAGCTGACGGGCCTCTGCAGCTGCAAATGTCACTGATTATTACCACCATATATTCTGGTAATTAATTTGGAAACGAGAATAGGTCGAGTGGCTTTGTCCACTTCGTTGCACAAGCAGGAACTGTCTTTGTGTGCCTGGGCAAGACTCCTCACGCTGTTTGCTTAGATTGTGCAATGCAATGTTGATTGCAGCAGGAAGAAAGGTCTGATAAAAGGAAGTGTTTCGCCCAGTTTAGAGCTAAATGACAATTGAGGACCTAGGATTTTGTACATTTTTAAATTACATGCATTACTCACCAAAGGCACAGGACTTAAAGAAAAGGAGTTGGACTGCAGAAACTTAAATCAGAAAGTGCTGTTTAAGTACATTTGTGAAATTGAGTAGAATTGTAGTTTTGACATGCCTGGTTCACCCACAGACATTACCCTATCGAAAAGTAAACTCCTCCAGCTCAGTAACCGTTTTTTGTCAAACTCACAGAAATGGGCTTTGAAATAAATATGTCTCTCTAATCCTGGTGTTTACATTTTTACATTGTTATTGTAAATCCAGATATGAGCTATATAAAGATTGCCTCATATATGGAATTGCATTTCATTTGCGTAGGAAACTCTAGCTTGTCCCTTAGCGACACGTCTGCCCCTTTTACGGAACGAAGCTAAGCCTGCCGGAACAAATACCCATATAAAGAGATTGATTCCAGCTAGCTTATGCTCAAATCAGCTTCTTCCACATTCAGGCTAACACTAACCTCAGCATCAGTCCACTCCTAATATACAGTCTATGCTCCAAAGACATACGTATACGGGTGAGAATGTAACAAAACAAGAGGCCGAGGGAAAAGTACTGTAATTCCTGTACAATAAAGACACACCTGTATATAAGCCACCCCAAATAAAGTTGAAAATAATTATCATTTTGTCCACATATAGGCAGCGCTTGAGTATAAGCCGCAGATTTTCATGTTGAAATGTAGCAGATAGATGAGTACTAGCTGCTAACTGGATGGAGTCAATATAAAAAGTCCCACTCTACCACAATACCATTCCATTATATTAGCCACATCCCTATATAAGCCACAGGGTTTAATGAATTAGAAAAAAGTAGCGGCATACAGTCCAGAAATTATGGTAATAGCAAACGTCAGATTATGAATAAACAGGGGTGTGATTTAGAGCCGTTTGTCACATGGGGAAATGGAATTGCGTGACTGACCATTGAATCAGAGTGACGCCTCCTTTCTCAGTGGTCATTTCTCCTTTTTTACTCTGTTCTCAGGAAATTCTGTTTTCTGCTTTTTTTTAGAGAAAAAAAGGAACATTTTGTGTAATTAGTGCTCTGGGTGTGGCTGATGTCCAGTCTGGTGTGCCTGACACATAGTTTGTAGAGAGAATTGCACAGCTAAATGTGTCGCTTCTTTTAATTATAGATATGTGAATGTGTGAAGTACTGGTTTGAAATTGTAATTTATGAACGAACCATTTTCTGTCCTTTTTAACCCCTTTCCAGCAAGTTATTGTCATGTTGTATATTCATTTCAATTCAATGAAATGTAATTTTGTATTACCTTAAATCACAGCAGCTGTTATCTTTGAGGACTTTAGAATAGTATGACATTATGCAAAAGGGAACAATATAAAAATAAACAAGATACAAAATAAGAATAAGAAAAACTTTGCAAAGTTGTCGATTCACCAGCACAGATAAGAGAATCAAACAGTTCAAACACAGGAAATGCAACGAGCCATTGGTCCATAAGGGGCAGATGACCAATGACCATAAATATCCTTAAATGTCGGCAAGGAACAACTCAAAAAAACCCAGGGAAAAAGTGAGAAACCTCTTTGAGGGAGGGATCTTCTCCCATATACGGGCCATATACATATGTTCAGCTCTTTTATAGACTCCATTTTCTAGTATTAATCTTTAACATTTTAACATGTCCTGGCATGGCACTTTCACAGCCTTTAAAAACTCCACTTGGCGAGGTGGGCAAAAATAACTGTCTGGTGAAACTTAAACTCTTATTTGGATAGCTAAATTTAGATGTCATGCCACGGTAACAGATCCTCACGTATGTGCGAGTAAAGTGAGATATGCTGCGCCCCATGTTTGATGGGGATATTCAGACCAACGGTGACAAATATTACATTTCATTTCTTGTTACAATACAACATGACATAACCCTGGACATTTTAATTACCAACCAGTAGATATTCTTTTATCAATGACAACATATCAGTCCTGGCAAAATACCTATCTTTCATTTTTATGCAGAGACATGTACAGTACCTGTGTGTACATGTCTCTTCCATGTCCACACAGGTACATGGAAGCGACAGGGGGACAACGGGTGAATAGCAATGAACAGACTACATTTTAAAAATCAAGTAAACTGGCAGTGAAGAAGACTATTATCCCTACTGCAGATGTGGATATGATGAGTTAAAAAAACAGTTCAACCGCAATGAGCAAGGTAAGGTTTTTATGACAGGTCCGAGGTCTTTGTTAGTTAATTTTTGGGCTTTGAAAGTTATTGCTCTTCTGCATTATCTACGCAATCCATCTCAAGTTGGATCCAAAATATCTTTCAGTCAGAGCAGTTTAATTTCCAGCCTTGTTCAAAGCAAATCCCCCAAATTGCGCTGGTTAAGGTTTTAATTTGCTGTATTTACAAAGCTCTCCCTGTGCCAAACAACCTCCCACAACACTACAACAGTGTAATCTTGAAGCCAGTACAATGTACGTAACATGGTCTGCAGAGACAGGAGGTGAACGCCCTGTCCCTGCCTCAGCCTCAGCCTCAGTCCCAACCTCCAGCCTCAGCCCAATCCTCACCCCCAGCCCCAGCTAAAGCTTCATCCTCAGCCTCCAGCCCCAGTCCAGAAAACTCATTTAACCATGCGACCCTGGCACAGTCACCAAACAGACAAATCTACTGCATGTACAAATCTTCTGTTTTGGCCTCTTAAAGCAACAGAACTTTGAAACCACACCTGAACTATGTACTAAATAGTAACTAAATACTGTTACTAGTTCCTCCAGCCTCAGCCTCACCCTCTACCTCCCTCTTTACCCCAGCCTCAGCCTCAGCCTCTGCCTCAACCTCCAGCCTCAGCCTCCGCCCCAGCCTCCCCACACGCAGCCTCACTTCTGGATGTACTGCAAATTACACAGATGGGTGTTGTACATAAAACATCTGGTCCCACAAGAGGATTATTTAAACTCAGCCATCTGCGAGCCACTTCTTGCACTCCTCTCTTGCACCTCCTTGAACCATGTCCGTCCTGCTCCTCACCCTCTGTCTCCTTGTACTGGGACCAGCCTGTGCCCAGTACCACAACAACGACCACTACGACATGGGTTGGATCAACGCTTATCGGCAAGGCTTCAACTTCCAGTGCCCACACGGAGAGGTGCTGGTGGCCATCCGCAGTTACTTCAGCGAGCAGGAGGGTTCCGACCGCCTCTGGAGCTTCGAGTGTCAGCCCACGCCCGAGGGTCTGGGTCACCCCACGGACTGCTGGTGGGACGACATCAACCGCGCTGGGATGGAATGGTGAGTGCTGAGGTTTTTGTCTCTTGATGTAGGTATAAGATTAAGATGAAGAGATCCGTTATTTGTTCCAGAGTTGGGAAATTTCAGTGTTGCATCATCAGTTACAGAACACTAGGAATGAGGAGCACGCAGCACAAGATGCATGAACAATAGCTATAACTAAAGTGAAATAAGTTTAAAAAAGTAACATAATGAAAAAGTAAGTGTAAAATCTCCCACTTTTGCACAATAAAGACGCAAGTATAAAATGTCTAACTTAACATAATAAAAAAATAAAGTTAAAAATCTCTTTAGCATAATAAAAAAGCAAGTCAAAATCTTAGACTTTAGACTGTCAGACTGCACAATAAGTCACTTAATGATGCCCTGCACTAGACAAAGGCAAACATTGCACTGCCATAGTTACTGTTTAATTGCACACAAGATACCTTATATTTTTTATCTTTATTACTTTTAAACATGTTTGCACATTTCCCAGACACATAAAACATTCATTAGGCTCAATGTACTGTAGAGGTAGATCGTGTTTATTTGTGCTCCCCAATGTCTCTGTACAAAATAAAATGTTTTAATTTGTTTTTTCACTTCATGTTTCAATTCAATTGGGTGAAACAGTTTTAAGTTTAACCTGTCATCAAAAAAAGTGACTGATTGTCCAAGTGATTAGGTATTAGAAGTGCAATAATTCTTCATTGTACTTTGCTGAAGTGAGACTAGAATTCTGCTTTGACATATTGAAAGTCATTGTCAACTCTTACAATTTTCATGCATAAAAACTGATGCATGTTTGTGCTGTGACTTTTGTGTGTGATTTCTTCTTTATTTGTTACATGATCCCTAAAAACGAAGACACAAAAATAGTTGTGAGGAGAGATATTGTCTCCTTATTGAGTTCTGGCATTATATTTTGGGAAAGAGTGTTTCTCAAGTAATAGAGCTTGTCTTGAGTACTAAAAACTTGTGAGTCAACTCGTCTGCTCCATTTGTTTAAAATTTGGTTTAAACTTTAATCTAGTAGACTCTAATCTACTGCCTAAAGATAAACAAACAAACAAAAATCACATACAGTATTTACATTTATTTTGTAAAAATAAAAATAAATTATATTTCTGTGTGGTTTCAAACTAAACTGGTTGTAGATTTTAATTTAAACTTCTGTCATAAAATTTGCATTTATTTCAAAATGTCTCATAAAAATCACACATGAAACTCAAATACATGGTTTCCCCTGCCACTAAAAGCCAAATGTAATATCCTCCAGCTCTCTCCAAATCCTGACCAAGCCGAGCTTCAACATCTGGATTGGATTCGATTTGATTCAGTTCAATTCAATGAACAGTATTTGTGTACAGCCCTAAATCACAGCAGTAGTCTTCTCGGAGGACTTTATAAAGTTGTCAATTCGCCAACACAGGAAATGCAATGATAACACATGAAGCCATTAGTCATTAGGGAACAGGATGACCACTGTCTATAACTGTCCATAAATGTCTGTACTGTAGCCTCACAGGATGGGTCAAATGCAGAGGACTAATTTTGCTATGAGGAGAATAAAGTATAATATTGCACATCGCCCATGAGAATGTGAGATATTGATATTAAAAACAGTATACACCAAATGTCTTTTTGAGCTTAAATGGTTATACAACCTGAGGCTAGCAACAAGTAGCTCACTGCACTCTTTCAAGTAGCTCCCCAATGGATTAAAACATTTAACACATGATCCTGAAAGATTCACTTTTGAGTAGTATATTTTATCTTCTTCCGTAATTGTGTATAATGCATGTGTGTTTGCCATGATTTGCTGTAGTTATTATATAAACTGCAAATGTATTACGAGGAGTAGCTCTCTAACATTTCTGATAAAAGTTGCTTTCCAATTGAAAAATGCCAGAGACCCCTTGGACACACATTCAGCACATGGAGAGGGTCTGGTGAGTCATGGCCCAGTCTGTATTGTGTACCTCTGCTTCAAAGACTTCTCTGTCAATAACAACGAGTGCATAAACAAATGAAGTCCAGGCCTCGTCTCGTGGCGTTTTGGTGCAAAGATGTTTGCCACATGAAACAAGATGGTCCCAGACTCCTGCAGGAAGCCACGCACCAGTTTTATCTCGGGGTTTACAGTGCCGGTAAACAAGATAGTGCTTCATTAAGTTTGAATGGCTTCCAGTAAGACACCACAGGGCTGAGACCGCAAATAGTAGCAAGTACATTTGGAAAAGTGAAAAGTGTTGCGAGAACATCAAGCAGCTCAAGGAAAACCTTAAAAAGTGATTGAAGTGTTTTGGTCCACAAATGTAAGTGAGTGCCAAGTTTTTTGAGAAATGGTCTGAACCTACTTTTGTGAATGAAAAGTATACCATTTGATTCTAAAAAAGTTTTACTGCTGAATTTAAATGACCAACTCTTCTTGAGCAGGAGATTCCATTATCCAAATGATATCGATGAGAGTTGTTTGCTCTTAAGCTAAAGATAGTGTATAGAGTGGTGGTATTCTTATTCTTCCCTTATCTTGTGCTGTGTGCTCCTCATTCCTGCTGTAACTAGTGAAGCAACACTGAAAGGTCCCCTACTGTGGGATGAATAAAGGAACTCTTAATCTTAATCCAAAAACCTAACAAGAAAGCGTCTGAATGTGTCTCATTACCAGTTAATAGGGCATAATAAAGATGCCTATATTTAATATAATAAATAATAAAGTATACATATTGTTGACCCTGTAGATAAATTAGAAATTAGTTTCAAAAACTGTTGCTTTATTTTCTCATTCCAAGGAGGACATTTGTTGTATCTTTTTAAAACAAGATCATTTTGCTTTGTTCCATTGGCAAATCTAGTTTTAAGGCAGTCAGAATGTGCTCACATTATAATACATTTTGTAATTTCTTTTCGCAATTTTCAACTAATTTTTCATCACTTTTTGCAGTGTACAGCATCCTCCAGACCAATGTAATAGAAATGAAAGTCACAATTTTGACCACTCATATAGCCACTGGTATAAGGTCAAATTCTCAACCAAAAACACCTTACAAAAATTAAACACCGGTAATGTTCTCTTCCTTTTTCTCTCTCCTTGATTACGTGCACTGAAGAGGGGATTACTTTGATCAATCAACAACATCTCAACCTGATTGCGATTGGTCCCTGTCCTAAGGCCACCCAAGTTTGGTTTTTTTGGAACTCTGAGTGTCACGTGGGGTGAGATGAAGGAGGACTGAAAAGCAGGAATGCAAAAATAATGATTTAATAAAATAAAGTCCTAGGTAAGAACAAAACTCAAAAATCCATAGGGAACAGGACAGAACTTGACCAGACAATGAACCAGCAATAGGGGAGAGGAGCACAGGTACATGTAAACACAGACAGAGGTGAAACACATGAGGGCGGGGCAGGCAATCAGCAGGGGAACAGGACAGGAAGTAAAACTGAAAACAAACCACAGAGAACTAATGTCAAAATAAAACCAAATACAAAAATAAAGTCCACACCATGACAGTGAGTTTAACGACAGTCGCATGGATGAATGATGTAAACCCACTACACAAGTATATATCCACAAAAATGCCAAATACATTTTAATTTGAGCATATTTTGACTGCCATGAAACAAGATATTCTTATGGGACAAGCTAAATGATCATGAAATAAGACTGAAGGGCTTTGTCCCATTGGCAAATATTGTTTTAACACAGTCAGAATGTACTCAAATTAAGATGGAACCCACTTGATTCAAGCAATTATCACCTCATACTTAATAATTTTTGCTGTCTAGTCCATCTGCACAGCTACAAAAAATATTTCCTATAGAGCCAAAGTCAAAGCAGACACAATACCTCATATATCTCCCAGCGTTCTCCCAACATGCCACTCATTCACAATAAAGATTGAAACGTAAAGCTAGCTGTCTGAACCGCCACACTATGAGCCTATGCAATCATTTTATTGGGCTGCGTTACCTTTGGTCAGACACATAAACAGTTTAGGCTAACCGCGTCTCTGCACCTCACAGACGTTGATTTAATTAAAGGGATGCATCGCCGATAAGGAAAGCTTATTGGAGGAGATTGTAGCCCTGGGCCCTTTGTAAACACCAGCATCTATCATGAAGAGCCACAAATGTCTGCGTCATATCTGAGCCCAGAATAGAGCAGAGGTTTCCAAACTGAGGGACAGACACAAGTGAAATCATTATACATGCCTTCATATCTGGTTAATGGTTGTGCACTTCTATTTGGCCTTAATGAAGGGAAATTTGATCGTCAATTAAATTTTTTTGTGTAGCCCTAAATCACAACAACAGTGTGTCTCGGAGGACTGTATAAAGTTATAGATTCGCCAACAACATAAGAAAAGTTTGAACTTAGAAATGCAATAATAACAAACACATAGGAGCCGTTGGTCCATAGGGAGCAGGATGACCAATGTTCATAAATGTTGATAAATGTCCTTAAATGTCCTGGATCATCACTGTGCTTAGATCCTCCTGCATCAGCAAGGAACCACCACCAAAAATAACAGTGTGAAAAAGTGAGAAACCTTGGGGTGGCCCATAATGAGTGAGGGATGCACTCCCAGGCTGTAGAATGAGGACTGAGACTGTGGGCTGAGGAGGCGCCCATGCAAGCAGGGGAGTGCGGTCCACCAGTCCAGGCCGGGGAAAGACAGTCCACAGGTGCAGATGAAAGAGGAGCAGATGAGAGATTACCACTTAGAATTCAAATAATCCAATTGTCCAAAAACGACCACATCACCCCTGTCTTTGCCATCCTTCACTGTTACCTGAAGTATATTCACCCTAAACTTCTGGTTAAAGGCCCTTGTTTAATTCTCCTGAAGCCGAGACACCATTTCTTACCTGCTCCTCTGTCTCACACACTGTTTTTTACCTTTGTCCACAGATTTTCTTTTCTCTGTGTTAGGAGAAATGTACTGAATACATAAGAATGGCCCATACACTGCAAAAAATAATAATATGAAGTAACAATTGCTTGAATCGAGTGATTTTTTATCTTAATTTACGTACATTCTGACTGTCTTAAAACATATAAACTGTTGATTTGTTTTCTCATTCCAGGGGACACATTTCTTGTATCGTTTTAAAACAAAATAATTTAGCTTATTCCGTTGCATGTTTTTTAAGGCAGTCATAATGTGCTCAAATTAAGTAAGTAATTTTTGACTTATTTTTCATCACTTTTTGCAGTGTAGGTGTCATGGATTATCACTATATATGAGACAGAAGCACGTTGTGTCTTGTTGAAGTTAAATCTAAATTTAAATTCAGTGGTTTGCTCTGATCTACAGCTGCTGGTGTGACCTTCAATTAGTGACAGGGCCAGAAAGCGCTTGTGCTGGATCAGGAAGAACATTTCATACACTTCATACTTCTCAAAGGCACAGAGATATCTCATTATGTCATTTGGAGTTGTTTGTACAGTATTTCTTTATTGTTTCCTGTCCTTGATTGACCTTTACGTTGCTGTCAGTTTGAGTGACTTTTGCTGGATGTGTCTTGAGAGTCCACACTGGGCCCCGTTCCATCCGTCCGTGTGTTTGATCAGTGTTTTGAGAACAGATCCTTGTATGGGCCATAAACACATTATCTGTCATCATAACACAGCAAAAAGCATGTTTAAAGTACTGCACTGACTGATGAGCTGCCAATCATCTCAGCGATGACAGAATTAGAGATGGAATGCTATTGTCTGTAACCACATGTTGATATTGAGAACATAACGAGTTCCTCTCTCTCTCTCTCTCTCTCGCAGGTCGTCCACCTGCTCTCGTAACGGCCTGGTGGCTGGAGTCCAGAGCAAGTATTTTGAGTCGGTTCTGGACAGAGAGTGGCAGTTCTACTGTTGTTACTACGAGCGCCGCTGCCCCTACTCCTGCATGTATGTTTACTGTCATCTGTACTATGTATATGTATATGTATATGAATGTATATGTATAGACATGTAAGTTCATTGGGTGGGAGTCTACGTCTAAATAGAAATGCATTCATAAATACCTATTATACAACACATGTACAGTATGTGTACGTGTATGTGTGTGTGTGCATATGCATATGTATATGCATATGTCTGCAGCATATCTGCAGTTCATCCAGAGTGATCATGGGCCTCTTGGCTGCATCTCTGATCAGTCTTCTCCTTGTTTGAGATGAAAGTTTGGAGGGACGGCCGGGTCTTGGTAGATTTGCAGTGGTCTGATACTCCTTCCATTTCAATATAATTGCTTCGCCGGTGCTCCTTGAGATGTTTAAAGCTTGGGAAATCTTTTTGTATCCAAATCCGGCTTTAAACTTCTCAACAACATTATCTCGGACCTGCCTGGTGTGTTCCTTTGTCTTCATGGTTCTCTCTGCGCTTTAAACAGAACCCTGAGACTATCAAAGAGCAGGTGCATTTATACGGAGACTTGATTACACACAGGTGCATTCTATTTATCATCATCAGTCATTTAGGACAACATTGGATCATTCAAAGATCCTCACTGAACTTCTGGAGTGAGTTGGCTGCACTGAAAGTAAAGGGGCCGAATAATATTGCACGCCCCACTTTTCAGTTTTTTATTTGTTAAAAAAGTTTAAATTATCCAATAAATTTTGTTCCACTTCACGATTGTGTCCCACTTGTTGTTGATTCTTGACAAAAAATTAAAATTTTATATCTTTATGTTTGAAGCCTGAAATGTGGCGAAATGTTGAAAGGTTCAAGGGGGCCGAATACTTTCGCAAGGCACTGTATGTATATATGTATATGTATGGTTACATCACACTGAACTTTGTGGCGTCCACAGGAAAACCACAGATGTCCCAGACTACTTCCGGGAGGAGGGGGAGATGGTGGTTCCCAGTTATGGATACTTCATCAGAGGAGCACAGACCACCTTCAGTGGAGTGCTCAGGTCGGAGTCTGTCAGAGCGGAACTAAACTCTTTATAAAAAAACACGTGATTTATCTCCTGTTGTTTTTCAGGGACCGGCAGTGGAAGTACATCATCTGCAGAATGACCGACTTCGACTGTGACTATGAGAATTTATAGATGCTACGGCTTCACTTTATGTTTTATAATATCTTTTTTATTCTGATTACTTTGTACTTCACATCTCAAAGTAATCATCAGTATTATTGTTAAACTTGTCCCAATCTAACATGAGTATCTTGGACAGTCCTCCCTACACACACACACACACTCATATTACGGAACACATACAGTATATTGGAATAATGCAGTTGTGTGTCCTCCTGTACATAACACCTTGTGACACTTTCACAGAATCTCTAAATAAAGTGTAAAACATTTGAAGTGTCTCAGATGGTGGTTGTCAGGGGCAACCACCACAGAACAGAGAATGGATGAACTCCACTCTCCACATCAGCATTTCTCGCTCTCTCCTTCAAACAGAGCCGAGTGTTTGACATGTGCGGCGGCCATGTTGGATCATCTGTTTTGTGTCCACGTTAAAACCTGTATAAACAAACTCAAAAGTGTTACAGTGCGAGCCTCAAAGCCCAGTAATAAAATGGGGGTTAATAGATTTACCTTCATACGGGTCAGGTTTAGGGTTAGGGTTAGAGTAAGGCTGGTATTAGAGAAATGTTTCATAAGTTAAAGGACACGGTCTCCCAGAGGAATCCAGTTTGGTGGTAACCATTTTGGACTGTGGTCAATGTAGTTTAGTTCTAGTATCGAGCTATTTAAGACAAAAGCAAATTACAAAATAATTTTTTTATTAAAACCATTGTTCAAGAAGTGTTTCTCCATATCATAATTTCCTCATCAATAGGTGTCCTGTAATAACAAGGCAAGTTTATTTGTGTAGCACAGGTCATACTCAAGGCAACTCAAAGTGCTTAACAAAACAAGATAGAAACAATCACACTAAAAGGCATTAAAATCATAAGATACAAAACGTCAGTTGTATGCAGCTGTATGTGATTGTTAAGAACGTCATTTAACCTGAGCAATTTATGGGCAATACTTTTGTTATAAAGGCAGAAACCTGCTCTGAGTGTGATGTCATAGTGGGGCAATGACATCATACTATTACAGGACTGAGACAGAAGCTTTCAAAGAGAAAGGTGATTCAGAAGTTCCTGATATTAGCATGGATGGATCTAAGAACAACTTCTGTTTTTGATGAGGAATAATGTTGTGACATGGTCTAAAGCTCAAAAAAGGCAAATTTAAATAGTAATTCTCCTTTACGTCGGTGACATGGTGGTACAGTAGTAAGCACTCTTGCTTGTCAGCAAGAAGGTCCTGGGTTTGAATCCCGGTCGGAATCCCGGTCGGTTGCATACTGTATCAATGTTGGCTCCTTGATACTGTATGCAAATTATGAATATGTTTTATAATAAGATGGAGACAGCATGTTGTGGTCCTATCACGATATTGAACTTTTACAAGACTCTTTCTTTTGAGTGCTCCGGTTTCCCCTGCCGTTAAAAGCCTGTACAAAAGGTAAAATCTTCCAGTAGTCCTGACCGAGCGAGCATCAACAAGACGTTTATGATTGGCTCTAGTGGGATAGCAGGATGGGTCAAATACTGAACCAAACTTGGTCCAGCTAAAGTGAACCAGACCAACATATGAATTCACACTGAATATTTGCAGATGTTGTCGACCATCAATTCAAAATCCTCATTATTGGAATATAAATAAAGCACCGAAACAATCCCTATAGTTTATTTCTCCTGCACGCTCGCCTTTGTCTCCATGTGGCCTTCCTCCTGGTTGGATTCTCGGCATTAAAAGCCACTGCAAACTCCTTACCCTCAACCAAACAACCAGGCATTGAGTGAACTTTCCGCTGACTAATTACCCTTTTCTCTTGGATCAAACAGGTGCATTCAGCGTCCAGACATTTGGAAAAAGTGACGGCGCGTTGCCTCATTTATCTTCTTTTCTGTAGCCTCCCTCCGCTCTCTGCAAAAGCCAGTTTAACTCTATGGGGAGTTAATGGAGTGGAGAGGTTGAAATGTCACTGGAATGAATAGACGCTGGGGACGGGGCCAGTAGCGCTTTTTGTGCACTATTTGTTTTTGGCGACTGCTGTTTGAGGGAATAGAGCCAAGCACCACATCGTCACACAGCTGTCACCGTGTCCGGCCACACGACTCCTGCGCTCTGAGGTTCAAGAGTGTGACCCGAGTGGACACTTACAGAGAAGCCAGACAGAGTAGTTGAATTCAAGCTGGGATAACCAAAATGAATGTATTTTGAAACTTAAACTGTGTTGCGATATTGTTCCCCACAAAAAACAGACCCGGAGTTGGTGTTAGATTCAAGTTCATTCATTTAGTTTCAATTTAATTTATTTTTGTATAGCCTTAAATTACAGCACCTCGGAGGACTTTACAAAACTGTCAAATTTTCCAATACAGATCAGAGAATTTACAGTTCAAACTCAAGAAGTGCTAAGATAAAAACACATAGAGCCATTTGTTTGTAAAGGGGCAGATGACCAATGTCCATAAATGCTGTGATAATAATGCATTGTTTTTTTTATACAGTGCTTTCGGACAGTCAAAGCTGCTTCACATGTCATTATTTATTCACTCCATACACAGTGGTGATAAACTACAAATGTTTTGTTTTTCTACGGCCGCTGCGTGGCAGTGGTCCTCGTTCTGTAGCTTAGGTCCTGGATCATTAGCCTGTCCGTGTTGGAGCGGATCCCTTTCTCAAATGTGGGTCTCCCCGAGGTTTCTCACTTTTTACACATTGGGTTTTTGTGAGTTTTTCCTTGCCGATGCAGGAGGGTCTGTTGGGCAGTTAGTGTCCAACAAGATGGACTGTGTTGATGATCCAGGACACTTTAACATTCTACAACATGTTCGGACATTTATCAACATTCATGGACATTGGTTTCTCCCTATGGACCAACTCATATGTGTATATTTTGTGTCTTAACTGTTGTTGTTGTTACACAGCTGTCCTGGGGCACACTAACAGGTCTCCAGTATGTGCCATCGGCTGCTCTGACCACCACCAACCATTCACACAAAACCAGACACAATCTAATACGGGTGAAGTGTCTTGCCTAAGGTTGCAGTTCGGCACTGTACAGCTGCAGAGGTTTCCCATCACATTACTGACCAGGACCTGGCCTGCATTTAACTTTTACAAAAGTCTTTCTTTTGGTAAAAACAAGATTGTTTTTTTATGAAGGAAGGCAGTTGCTTTAAAAAGCATACATACCTGGCTAAACCTCTGGAATGTTGAAATCTGCTTTGAAACTATGGCAGCCATGTTTTCAATTGAACCAGGTTAGATCAAAACGGTAGACCAAGTCCAATAGTCCAATGGCAGAATGAGCCTTAGACCCAGACTGATCCAGACTGATCCAGACTTACAGTTATAGCAGATTATACCATTTTGAGCTTTAATAATGCAAAGAAAGTTTTGAAGAGCCATAGGACATACAAAGGACAGTTAATTTAAGACTTTGAACCTCAGGCTATAGCTTCTCCACCTTAGGGCTCCCCCACCTGTCCATTCAAAGCAACTAAAGAACTGCCCCAAACCTCTCTGTAGCAAAGAAATAAATAAATAAAATTGAATGCGCTGATGACAATAATATTAATAATAATTCAATGTAAAAAGCCTTTCAAAAGATTTCAAACCACAAGAGCAGGAACTATGTAACTCTCACAACAGATTTTGAGGGCTACAGTACATTGTGTCTCTGTTATAATAGTATTACTAGTTTTCACATGAATGTATTTTGGGCCTCTATCAAATCAAGATTCTGATTCAGTTTATTTGTCATTTGAAGTAAAACCACATGTGCTAAAGTACCCCACTGTGCACCGGACAAGCACGTAAATAGGACAAGCTACAAGATCCAAGAAACAATTGTTACTATCATCTCTAGATCAGCTTTGTCTGACAGAAAAGTTAAAAACTGGACCATTCTGTTCTGTATTCACATTTCTGGACACTGGTCATCCCTTTGGACCAACTTCTCCTTTGTGTTTGTTGTTATTGCATTCCCTGTGTTTGAGAAATACATCGACTTGAATTGGATCCTGTTTTTCTTTGCAGCACAAGTCACTCACATATTTCCTCTATCTACAATCTCAATCTCACATGTGGAATTATATTTGGGAGGATATTGGTTGCTATTTCTGTGCTTTGGCGATAGAGAGGCGTGTCGGCAGGAAGTTGTTAGCTGAGTTTTGATTCTTGGGAGTAGGAGCAGGAGTTTAAAAACACCTATAAAACCTGGGTGTGACTTTATAAGAGAAATAAACATGTTTACGCCAGAGCTGCTTGGGCCATTACTGGAGGAACTGGTTTGGATCTGTTTAAAGGAGATACAACAGGCATTTTATGTATTTTTTTTATCAGGCGCATAGATAGCAATTTCACATTTTGTTTTTCTATGCGTCAACAATTGATCTGAATCATTGACTTCCTGTTCAAGATGGCACTCATAACCTCAGCCTTCTCACTGTGCATTTGCATTCTTTGTCCGTCCACCCATTCCTTTTCTTCTGATTTATCCGTTGCCGGATCGTGGGGGCAGCAGTCTACACTGTAAAGAATTTCCTTGTAGAAAAACGGTAAAAAGCTGGCCAATATGGTTCCAGGGATTTACCGTTTTCTCAACATGGCATTACCGTTACTAATTTTAACGGTTAAAGACTGTTTCACTGAATCACATAATGGATTTCAAGATTTAACTGTATGTTCCTGTTAATTCAAATACAGCATTATAATGTTATCTTTTTATTATTGCACCGTATGACTGTTTCTGTTTTCTCATTAGTTTAATTGAACAAAAAAGTTTAAGTTTGTTTTTCTTTAATGAACACAACATTTCAATTATTTTTTAACATCTTCACTTATACAAGAAAATAGTTGAAATCTTTACTTCTATAACATGCTTAACGCAAAAGCATCATTTTAACAATATCAGCTTACCCTCATGGTTGCTTGCTAGCAAAAATTTCCCAGCATTCCAAAAATACAACAAATTGATGTTAAATTCCGGTAATCCATTGTGATTTTATGGTATTATAACATTTTTTTGT